GGGGGGGGAACGGGGGGAGCTGAGGGGGGAACGGGGGAGCGTGAAGGGAGACGCGGGGACTGAGGGTGAACCGGGAGGGGCTGAGAGGGGAATGAGGGGAAATGGGCGCGTTGAGAGGGGAACGGAGGGACTGAGAGGGAAACCGGGGGGGCTGAGAGGGGAATGAGAGAACCGGGAGGGCTGAGAGGGGAACGGGGGGTGAGAGGAGGATGAAGGAACCGAGGGGCTGAAGGAAGCGGGGAGTGAGGGGGCCCAGAGGGGCTGAGCGGGACCGGGAGGGGATCAGAGGGATCGGGCGGGGGAGGGGAGCAGGGACTGAGGGGAGAATGAGAGGGGTCAGCGGGTGCTGGAGGGGGCCGGGGGTGGGAGCGGGGTCTGGGGGGGTTCGGAGGGGTCGTGGGGGATTAGGAGGGGCCGCAGGGCAGGGATGTGCGGCTTCACCGGAACCTGAGGCTGCTCCTGGGGCCAGCGGGAGCCGCGGGTCCGTTCTCCAGGGCTGGATCCCGGTGGTGGTGGGCTGGGCCCGGCCCCGATCCCGGTGTCCATCCCGGTGCCCATCCCGGCCGTGATCCCTGTGCACATCCCGGCCCTGATCCCGGTGCTGATCCCGGTGCTGATCCCGGTGCTCTCCACAGAACCTGAAGAAGAGCTGGCACCCGCAGACGCTGCGCAATGTGGAGAAGGTGTGGAAGGCGGAGCAGAAGCATGAGGCCGAGAGGAAGAAGATCGAGGAGCTGCAGCGGGAGCTGCAGGAGGAGCGGGCGCGGGAGGAGATGCAGCGCTACGCCGAGGACATGGGCACCGTGAGGTGAGCGGGGACAGCTCAGAGAGCATGGGGACAGCTCGGGGACAGCTCAGAGAGCACGGGGACAGCTCGGGGACAGCTCAGAGAGCATGGGGACAGCTCAGGGACAGCTCAGGGAGCATGGGGACAGGTCAGAGAGCATGGGGACAGCACGGGGACAGCACAGAGAGCACGGGGACAGCACAGAGAGCATGGGGACAGCACAGAGAGCATGGGGACAGCACAGAGAGCACAGGGACAGCTCGGGGACAGCACAGGGAGCATGGGGACAGCACAGGGAGCACGGGGACAGCACAGAGAGCACAGGGACAGCTTGGGGACAGCACAGGGAGCATGGGGACAGCCCAGGGACAGCTCAGGGAGCATGGGGACAGCTCAGGGACAGCATGGGGACAGCACAGAGAGCACAGGGACAGCATAGGGACAGCACAGGGACAGCCAGGCCTGGCTGTGCTTGGGCTGGGGTGGTTGGTGCTGCCCGTGCCCCTGGCAGAGCTGTGGGGACAGTGGCTCTGCTGCTCATGGAATGGGTTGGGGTGCAAGGGACATCAAAGGCCAGCCGGTGCCACCCCTGCCACGGCAGGGACACCCCCCTCTGTCCCAAGCTGCTCCAAACCCCGTCCAGCCCGGCCTTGGGCACTGCTGGGGATCCAGGGGCAGCCACAGCTGCTCTGGGATTTCTATTCCATCCCCTCCTGTCCTTCCCAGGGAGGAATTCCTTCCCAAAATGCCATCCAGCCCAGCCCTGCGCCATTCCCCTTGTGCTGTCGCTCCGTCCCTTGTCCCTCTCCAGCTCTCCTGAGCCCCAGTCAGGCACTGAAACGCTCCAGCCACGTCACCACAAAACTTTTCCAGGCTGAGCAATCCCAACCCTCCCAGCAGAGGATCCCTTGGGATCAGCTCCCACGGCGGCCCAGCCGAGTCCAGGATAATTCCCGGTTGTTTTGTGCGGCAGGAAGCGCGAGGAGAAGCTGGAGTGGATGTACCAGGGCCCCGGGGGAATGGTGAACAGGGACGAGTACCTGCTGGGCCGGCCCGTGGATAAATTCATCCTGGACAAGGTTGGGGACAGGGACGGTGCCTCGGGGGACTCGGGGCTGCTGCCAGGATCCATCTTCGCCAGGGCTGGGGCCAGCTCCGTGCTGGACATGGCCACCAAAATCCGCGAGGATCCGCTCTTCATGATCAGGTGGGACAGGAGGGGAGGGGCAGCGTTTGCTTTGTTGTGCTAATAACTTAAAATAATTATAAATGAATAATTTAGATGTAGTTAAATAAATTATAGATGTAATTAGGTGTTTTCTGTGTAATTGACGTGTATTAATAGGATACAATATGAATGTGGGTGGTGTATAATTAATAATAGTAATTGTAATATATAATAATACCGATTATAATTAATATTAATAATATTAATTATAATGTATAATAATATATATTATAATTAATATTCATTATAGTAATTATAATATATAATACCGATAATAATTAATATTAATAATATTAATTATAATGTATAATAATATATATTATAATTAATATTCATTATAGTAATTATAATATATAATACCGATAATAATTAATATTAATAATATTAATTATAATGTATAATAATATATATTATCACTAATATTAATAATGGTAATTATAATATATAGTAAATACTATTATAATTAATGTTAATAATATTAACTATAATATATAATAATATATATTATAATTAATATTCATTGTAGTAATTATAATATATAATAATATCGGTAATAATTAATATTAATAATATTAACTATAATATATAATATATATTATCACTAATATTAATAATGGTAATTATAATATATAGTAAATACTATCATAATTAATATTAATAATATTAACTATAATATATAATAATATATAATAATTAATATTCATTATAGTAATTATAATATATAATAATACATATTATAATTAATATTAATAATACTAATTATAATATACAGTAATACCTATTATAATTAATATTAATAATACTAATTATAATACATAATATTATATAATGTATAATACTATAGATATAATAGTATATATATAGTATAATACTATAGATATAATAGTATATATATAGTATAATACTATAGGTATAATAATTATATAACGCAATAATATTAATAGAAATAATATTAATAGAAACATTATTAATAATATATTAATAATTAATATGATGCATATTAATAATATACATTAATGTGCCAATAATACACCATATATTATATTCATTATATATACTATGTATTTTATATATCATATATTATGTGCATAATATATAATCATTATAACTACATATAATATATAATCATTGTAACTATATATAATATATAATATACATTATATGTTAATAATATATAATTATATTCTATAGATAAGTATAAGAATTAGATAAAAACAATTATAATAATATATTATTTAAATAACTCGATATAGAAATTGATTATAGTAATTATATTTTGTATATAGATTATATGTAATAATTATGTATTATATATCAATTAATTATAATAACTGTGTTACATAATATATGAAATATATTGAATGCATGAATATATAAATAATAAAAAATATAATATGAAAATATATAAATTAATATAAATATATAATATATAAATATATAAAAATAAAATAATATGATAATTATACTACAGTATGTAATGTGTTCTATAATTATTAATTTCTATTTTGTAATATATAATGATATATACATAATGTATTATAACACATTGTAATAATACATTACTTATTTTATAATATATTAGTTATATGTTATATATAGTTAATATAATGAAATATTTATAATATTATAATTATAATATATTATATAGCAATACAATATTATAAATAATATTTATAATATTTACTGACATTCCTTTAACCACATTTTAATTAAACAAAATTAAAAGTTTAGCAAGGGACAAACCAGTACCAGCATCAGCTTTTTATTTCTTGCTTTAGGAAGAAGGAGGAGGAAAAGAAAAGAGAAGTTTTGAACAATCCAGTGAAAATGAAGAAAATCAAAGCCTTGGTAGGTGTGAGCAAAAATCTGAATTTTGATTGTTCAGGATGAGGAGCTGAGCTCTGTTTGCTCCTTAAACTTCTCAATTTTGAGAGAAAATCTCATTAAACCAGATTTTCTGCCTTTAAATTTATAAGTACATCTTTATAAAGAGATTTCTCTGCAAAGAGAAATTCATCAATTTATAAGTGTTTAATTTAATATGAAGTTAAATTTTCAAATTAATTACAATTTTTAAATTAATTGAATTTTTTAAGTTAAGTGAAATTTTTAATTTAAAAATCAATTTATAAATTTTCAATTTAGAAATGTTTATCATTTTTATAAATATCTTCACGTTTTTCTTTTTTTTTTTTTGGGAAGGATTTTTTTTGTACCTGGAGCGCAAAAAACAGAATTTTGATTGTTCAGGACAAGGAGCTGAGCTCTGTTTTCTCCTTAAACTCCTCAGTTTTGAGAAAAAATCTTGTTAAATTGTATTTTCTGCCTTTAAATTTAGAAATGGCTGTACATTTTTATAAAGACATTTCTCTGCAGGGACATTTTTTACCCCTTTAAACAGGAAAAAATCTGGTTTTTTTTTGTTTTCAGTTCCTTGTAAAGATTTCTTTGGCTGGGGTTTCCTGCCAGGAGCTTTTCCACAGGGAATTCTGGTCTTTTCCCTGGGATTCTGAGGGAATTTTTGTCTTTGCAGCTGCAGAACAGTTTGGATAAAAAGGAGAGGAAGAGGAAGAAGGAGAAGAAGAAGAAGCACAAGAAGCACCGGCGGCGCAGCTCCAGCAGCGACAGCTCCAGCTCTGAGGAGGAGAAAGGCAGAAATAAGTGAGTTTTCCATTTTTCTGGCCAAAAAAAAACCCCCCTCTGAGCTTTGTCTTTCTAATTAATTTTAATTAATAGTATTTAGTTTAATTAAATGTTTCATTAAACTTGTTGCTTCGTTGGTTTTGCATCGAAGGCGTGATAAAAAATGGATTTATTCTCACAATTCATCTGCTTCAAAAGGATTTTATTTTTCTTTTTAGGTCGCAGAAAAGAGTGGAGAATTCCTCCTGGAAGGCTGCTCCTTCCAAAATCCCAGGATACGGCTTACAGGTACACCCCGAGACAGGGAAAAGCAGGAATTTGGGAATTGCTGGAACAGGATAATGAGTGGGACATAATTTAATAAGTTTTAGATTCAATTTGGAGTCATTTGAGCCTTGAAATTCAAATTATTCAGAGCTCAGCCGGAATTCTGCTTGGGATTTGGGATGAGGCTTGTTCAGCTGCTCCTCGTTATCCATGGAATCGTGGAATGGGTGGGGAGGGACATGAAACCCATCCTTGTTTTCCATGGAATCATGGAATGGGTGGGAAGGGACATCAAACCCATCCCTGTTATCCATGGAATCATGGAATGGGTGGGAAGGGACATCAAACCCATCCCTGTTATCCATGGAATTGTGGAATGGGTGGGAAGGGACATCAAACCCATCCCTGTTATCCATGGAATTGTGGAATGGATGGGAAGGGACATCAAACCCATCCCTGTTATCCATGGAATTGTGGAATGGGTGGGAAGGGACATCAAACCCCATCCAGTGCCACCTCCCGCTGTCCCAGGCTGCTCCAGCCTGTCTTGAGCCCCTTCCAGGGATCCAGGAGCAGCCTGGAATTGCATTCCAGGGAGGAATTCCCTGCTCCCAATCCCCTCTGGATTGCAGGTGAGGGATCCCGAGCCGAGCCGGCGCTCGCGGAGCTCCCCGTGCCAGGAGCGGCCCCGGCAGCGCTCGCGGAGCTCATCCCGCTCTCCCCAGAGCCATTCCAGCAGGAGGAACCCTGCCAGGAGCTCGGGATCGCCCTGCAGGCACAGCAAACAGTGAGTGCAATTCCCTGGAATCCCATCCCTGGTATCCCATCTCCCACATCCCCGCCCTGCAGCTCTCTCCCATGAAATCCCACTTTTTACTGGGGACACCCTTGAGGTGTTGCTGGTGGCTGGGGTTTGCCCAGTTCTCTTCAAACTGATCGTTCAGAGCTAATCAAATTAAGTTTAAGTTACCTTTAGTTCAATTATTTATTAAATAATTAAAATTATTTAAATCTAAATTTTAATTCGATTTAAATTATTTTATTTTATTTTAATTTAATTTATTTTTTAAATTTTTAAATTATTAAATTATTTAATTAATTTAATTTATTTTAATTTAATTTAAATTCTTTTATTTTAATTTATTTTCATTTAATTTAAATTCTTTTATTTTAATTTATTTTCATTTAATTTATTTAAATTATTTAATTAATTATTTAATTAATTAAATTTATTTTCATTTAAATTATTTTAATTTAATTTAAATTAAAATTACAGATGAAATTATTAAAAAAAACAGGATATTGTTGGTTGGTCCCAGTTCTCTTCAAATTGATCGTTCAGAGCTAATTAAATTAAGTTTAAATTATCTTTAGTTCAATTATTTATTAAATAATTAAAATTATTTAAATTTAAATTTAATTTGAATTATTTTATTTTAATTTAATTTATTTTAATTTAATTTATTTAATTTAATTTATTCAATTTAATTAACTTCATTAGTTATTTAATTAATTAAATTCAATTAATTTTAATTCAATTTATTTTAATTTAATTTAAATTATTTTAATTTAATTTAAATTAAAATTACAGATGAAATTATTGAAAAACCAGGTATTTGTTGGTTGGTCCCAGTTCTCTTCAAACTGATTATTCAGGGCTGTTAAATTATCTTTATCTAACACAGCTAAAATGATAAAAAATTGTTGTTTGCTGATGAAATAAATAAAATGTATATATTTTTTATGAATTAAATAAATTTAATTTTTGTTATTAATTTTTATGAATGCTCACATGGGGATTTTGGTGCTAATGAGACAGATTTTGGTGCTCACCAGATGGATTTTGGTGCTCACCAGATGGATTTTGGTGCTCACCAGGAGGATTTTGGTGCTCACCAGGCAGATTTTGGTGCTCACCAGGCAGATTTTGGTGCTCACCAGGAGGATTTTGGTGCTCACCAGATGGATTTTGGTGCTCCCCAGATGGATTTTGGTGCGAACCAGACAGA